TCCCTCCTCTCCTCCTCTCCCTCCTCTCTCCCTCCCACCTCTCCTCCCTGTCCCTCCTCCCCTCCTCTCCCTCCTCTCTCTCCCTCCCACCTCTCCTCCCTGTCCCTCCTCTCCTCCTCTCCCTCCCACCTCTCCTCCCTGTCCCTCCTCTCCTCCTCTCCTTCTCTCACTCCTCTCTCACCTCTCTCTCAGTTTGAACTCAGGACCTCTCACTCTTGCTTGGCTGTGTTGCTCGGGGTGGCACTCTACCATTTGAGGCACCCCCAGTCCAGCATTTGGCTGGTTACTTGAGCATGGAATCTCACAGTCTTTTCTGTGAGATTCTGTAGCTGGCTTTGAACTTAGATCTTCTAGCTCTCGGCCTCCTGAGCAGCTAGGATTGTAGTTGTGGGTTATTGCCGCTGCTGACTTACTTTCCTGGGAGTGGCGGGGGATTTGAGGGTCTTGCTGTGTAGTGCAGCCTGGCTCAAAGGTAAGGTCATCTTCCTGCCTCTGCCTCTTGAATGCAAAGATTGCAGGCATGCACCACCACCCCTGGCTGTCGTCTTTTTTCTTCTTACAGTTTTGCTTGTTTCTCACTGTGATCAAATTACCCTAGTGGACTCTGAAATAGAAGGTAGGAGGCTATGAACTGAGGGTGACTTTTTCCCCTCCTGGCACTCCTGCGCTGACTTGAGCTTCCTTAACAGGAATATAGAGGTGTCACTTTTCCTTGCCATCATAAAAAAAAAATTTAGTAAAGTGGCAAAAGTTGAAAACTAAAATCATATTAAAATTATTTTCTGTAGAAAATTTTCGTTGGCTTGTGTTTTATGATAAAAACAAGTTTGTAGATATTTCTTCACTGAAAGTTACCTCCCCTCCCCAAACTAGCTGTGTCTATGTCATAATTAAATCCCCAATGTTAGGAGACATTTTCATATTCTACATATTCTGAGAACTACAGGGTGCTTCGGAAAATGTGAGTCTTTTAAAAGAAATGCTGTAATCATACATTGATTTTAAATGACCCTGTCACACGTGAAAACAAAATCAGATTGTTGCTCTTAATGAGCTTTTCAATTTACTATTCAGTAGATCAGATAAGTGGATTTCAGAGGTAATGATCCTGTTTAGTACTCAGGCTTGACTGTCAGATCCTTCCAGTGTGGAGAGATCCCTAAGGACAAAAGCATTGACACAGTTGTAGAAGGGATAATGGGAATCAAAGCTAATGGATGATAAAAGGAACGGTGCGAGTTACAAGGATAATAGTGGATTAAAGCACTACCATGTGTCAATGTTGACTGGTGTTTCTAACGTGTTATTGGTTCACATATGATGCTTGGAGAAACTGTTTTGACAGCGGAGCACAACAGGCCTGCCTCGCTTCCTTCCGCCTTGCATGCCAAGTTGTCCTACAACAGGAGAACATTTCCTGGTAGGAACTCTCTATTTAAAAAAGACTCAATTAGTGAATGTTTTAAATATTAAGAATAAAATCAAGTTTTAGTTATTATACTTTTATTAGTCAGTGTTTCATCATTTAAATTCAATGGGGCATAATTTTAGAATAAAATCTAGATTGATTCTGAATATTGTCATTATAAAGTACATACACTAAAGTCTTGAAAATACAAATTTTGATTTTACTAAAAAACAGTGTAGCCATTATATGATCCAAAACAGAAAACCTTGGCCAGAAAAATAACAACAACAACAAAAAAAAAAACAGAAAAGAAAGGAAGATATAAATACAGTAAAATGGGTCCTGGTCAGCATCCTTCCCAAAGACAGTTATGTTGAACATGAAATTTAGGGCTGATTTTATTTATCTGTAGGGGGGGATGCTGTTGCCCAGGAAGAGGTTATTCTTTGAGTCCTAGGTTCATTCAGGCTCTTACCTTTGTGATATGTATATAACTTATAATGGAGTCAAAGTTAAGAGCACATGCAGTCTGTACCCCTGCAGACAAGCAGATGACGGGGTCAAGGCCCCCCTTGCCTCATTTTATATACTCCTGTGATTTGAAAGTCTTCTCTCACAAGGGCGCTACTAAAGATCAAAGACAGCTGCAACACTCAGTAACAACGGGATGCTCCCAGATTGAAATTACAGTTCAAGCTTTTCCCTGTAATACTTTTCTTTTTCTCTGGTAATTTATGGTTTTCATCTTTTCTCCATGAAATCTAATGTATGTTTAAAAGAAAAATTATTTTTATTAGCCGTGCAGTATCCTCATTATAATGTCATCTTAAGGGGTCCAGACAGCCGCTTCTGCCATTACACGGTGAGCACACGTGTGGTGTGCTCCCTTAACCAGCGTTGTCTTACGGATGGGACCCAGAGAACAAGGCATAAGAGCACCCCACAAAGTGCTCATGTAGACTTGAGGAAGGGACCCCAAACAGAGTGCCAAAAGTTCCCTGGCTACGGGAGGGATCAGATGAGGAGCATGCAACCCCGCCCTCCTGGGAAGGTGGCCAGCCTTCTAAGAATGGCTTGAGAATGGGAATCCGGTAAGAGAAGGAAGAAGGCTGAGCCAGCGGAAGGAAGAGCACATAAGATCTGGAATTGCATGACACACCTCAGTAATCCTTCCGGGTTGGGTTGTGGCTTGAAGTTGAGGGAAATGTTGGAAGATGAAGTGTGAGGAGCCAAGTTGTGAAACATTTTGTACGGCATAAATCACATCAAGATCATCTTCTCCAATTGAACAAGTTTAGATAGGCCTGTCCGCAAGGTGTGTGGACACTGGGGGACTAAGGGAAAAGTTGCCTTTCTATCTATTTTTCTTCCTTCTGCTGTCTTTGTGCTCATAGTTCCTGGACTAGTGTTGTCCCACATGACTGTTCTTGGAGATGAAAGCCTACTCTCAGGCAAGACAGTAGTGATGTCGTCATTGACATGTTCTTTCTGGAAGGCGTGGTGGTTAGCAAAAGAGGCAACAGAAGATTACATGTCGGTTTTCTTTTTTCTTTTCTCTTTCCACCTTTGAATTCCTGCCCCAATACCCAGCCCTCTAGCCCTTTCATCCACTCTGCCAGCCTGATGAAGAGGCTTCTGGACCAGTCAGGTTGAAAGCCTGTAACACAAGCTTCTGATCCGAATACTGTTTAAAACCTAGTACAAGGTCCCTGCAATGAACAGCTCCCCTCCTCGGTGTGACCTTATTATCACCATTATCATCTACTCCCTTCTTCAAGAAAGGGGTAGTTTACCACTGAGGAGAAGAAATTAGGTCGTTTGGTGGGAATAAAATGAGTATGTGGTTATGTTTGTATGTCTGTATGTATTTCAAACCAAGAAGGGTGCTTTTTTAAAGGAAAAGTTAAAATTACAAATTTGTTTAATAATCCGTGATTAACTCTCAGCTCTTCCTAATTCAATGTGGATACAACAATGAACTACATCTTGTACTTGTTTTATTTGATGTTTGGGAAGGATATATTAAGGATTAAGCTTTTGACAGTGACATTTGTCCATGCAGGTATATGCCCGTATGTCAGAAGTCTTAGGAATAACCGATGACAACCACGTTTTAGAAACATTTATGACGAAAATGTAAGTTACTGTTTTGGTTTCTAATTTTTCTTCTGCTTTAAATCTTAATAGATCATGTCATTATACTTGAATCTTTTTATAGATATTCTAGGTGGGTGAGTGCACACATGGGCGCCTGTGTACATACATGCGTGGCACGTGCGCACACGCACACACACACACTCCAGCCTGTCACACACACATACACACACACACACTCCGGCCTGTCACACACACACAGCCTGTCACACACACACACACACACTCTGGCCTGTCACACACACACACACACACACACACTCCGGCCTGTCACACACACACACACACACTCTGGCCTGTCACACACACACACACTCCGGCCTCACACACACACACACACACACACACTCTGGCCTGTCACACACACCCACACTCCGGCCTGACACACACACACACACACACACACACACTCTGGCCTGTCCCGGGGCTTAAACTCAAGGCCTGGATGTGGTCCCCGAGCTTTAGTGCTCGAGGCTATCACTCTACCATTTAAGCCGCAGCAATACTTCCAACTTTTTAGTGACTAACTGGAGATAGGCTTCTCAGAGACTTTCCTCTCCTGCCTGGCTTCAAACTGCAATCCTCAAGCCTCCTGAGTAGCTAGGATTATAGGCCCAAGCCACCGGCACCCAGCTCAGACATTACTTTTTAATAAAGCTTTAAATTTTTGTTTTAATTCTTAGAGTGTTTGTTAAGATAGCCATACAATATCAGGACACAGTTTAAAACAAATATTGACCCTTTGGGGTCAGTTAGACACTCTCTCTCTCTCTCTCTCTTTCTCTGTCCCTCCCCCCCTTCAGTTAAAAGAGAGCACTTCATTTTAGAAGCCTGTAACAGATGAGCTTATTGAAACATTTAGAGGAGCTTATTGAAACATTTAGAGGAGCTTATTGAAACATTGGAATCATAGTTTCTTTTTTCTTTTCTTTTTTTCCTTTCTCTTTCTCTTTTTTATTTTTTTCTTTTTTGTTTTTTGTTAGTTGTAGGGCTTGAACTCAGGGACTAGATGCTGTTCCTGAGCTTTTTTTGCTGAAGGCTAGCTCTCTACACAGCTCCACTTACAGTCTTCTGGTAGTTAATTAGAGAAAAGAGTCTCACAGACTTAGGCTGGCTTTGATCCATGATCATCAGATCTCAGCCTCCTGAGTAGCTGGGATTACAGGCAGGAGCCACCAGTGCCCAGCTCAAAATTTCTTTCAGACAGAACAGTTGTTAGTTTCAACAGGAAGCCATGCTGAGACATGTTTGTGGGACTTCTCCTTAAATTAGCCTTAATATTAGCAGAATTAACTGAGTTCTAATCATAGACATAGCTTTCTATATTGAGCTTAAGTTTGCATGCCTCTACTTGTCGCCCCACGGTGCATGTGTGACAGGTAGGTAGCACTGTCTTGTTTGAAGACAGCAGAGGTGCACAGACGGCCTGGTGACAGGACGCTAGCTCTGTCTTGACAGTGACTTTTGGCCTCCGTTTGACCTCCTTTGCACTCTTGCCTTTAGTATCTAATGTCTGTCTTGGTTACAAACAATGTTTCTTGGAAAAAGGATTTTTAAGTTTGTACAGTTTTTAAGTTTATACAATGATGTACCATTTGGAGAGCAAGGTTGAGTATGGATTGATTATGCAAAAATTTAAATGTGCTAGAAAAGAATTTTTAAGTGTTCTATTGGAAGTTGAACCTGCCTTTCATTTTACGATTTAGGTCATCTAATTTACATAAATGTATATGTTTCTGTGATTCTCCCTGTATAGGCAAATGTCTTACATATAATACAAATTTTTTTTTATTTTGTATTTAGTGTTACAAATCTTAAATACTGGGGAAGATGTGAGCCTGTAATTTCCAGGACTCTTCAGTTCCTAAATGACCTTTCTGTTGGATATCCTTTTCACTGTGTATCTGATACTATATGTTAACAACTAGAAACAAAGTTGTAATAGCCAGGTATTTTCCTTATTTATTATGCTTTTGCAGTTTTTTTAATGAGAAACCTTATATATCAGGGCATGTTTTTGAAACTTTATAGTAGCTGTCAAACTATGAGCATTTCTGAGTCATAATTGAATTTTTATCGCTATTAGTTTTGTTTATACTCACCCAGGTTAACTATCAGAAACTCTTTTTCTTTAAGAAAGCATGTAGCTAGTTTTAAGGAGGTCAGGATGTTTTTAAAATGTTATAAACATTGTACTTCTAACAGCAAATACATACAACATATAACACATTTTACACATTATATATATATATATATATATATGTTCTAAAGTTGAAGAGAGCATCATTTTCATGAGGGCACAAGGGAGTAGTAATGGGAAGAAAAGAATAAGCTTTTTTTATTGCATTTTTAATAGCCTCACCAAATCAATGTTCTATCTACTCCTAAGATTTCCCATTACATAGTAAGTGTTTATATTTCTTTATCTAGCAGATTCCTAAAACTCAGACTTCATCCTTCTTTCTTACTAGATTATACTTGGTAGTTACCATTTTTATATTTCTTCCAATGGAAAGGACTGTGTAGATCATCTTTCATATATTAGCTATCAAACATATAGGTGTTATGAAAACTAAATGCTTTTTTAGTTAACTATTAGCATTAGCTGATACTTAAATTCTGAAAATGGGTGGCTTTGGACAGAAACTTAATGTGGGTTCATTCCAGGAATGTGTTTGTATTCGTTAAGTTTAAAATTGTGTTCCTTGGAAAACCATAAAAGATTTCCAAAGTATTAGACACCCACTTTTGTGCTGGAATTTAATATGCAACTTTTTATTGGAAAATAATCGTCCTTGTCTGGTGAAATCCACCATGCAATATTTCTGTTAGTAGGCATAATGCAATAAAGACAGGGAGGGCTATTTATCACTACAAATTTTGAGGATTTCAGGATTCTTTTTATTATTTTAATATATTTCTTTGATATTAAATCAGAAAAATGATAAATTACACCTGTCCAGGCTGTTTTTCCTTTTTACTGGAAAATGATGTACAACCCAATTCCAGTGGTCATTTTGGCTTTTTGGGATATGTATTTTTTTCTTATTAAAAAAAGAACTCAACTGTATTTTTTTCTAACAGTAATGCTGAAATACTCTTTATTTCTAACATATGAAGTGGTTTATAAGTACTTCCTCGAATTGCAAACTCCGGCCTTTTCACAATGAATTACTTTAAGAACATATTATCTAGAAGGAAACCTTAGTTTTTTTATAGCACATAGCTATGGTTTAGATTTACTCTACTTTTGGGGTGAAATTGATATTTAATGTAAAGTTAATTTTATTTGTATTTTAGTATAATTTGCATAATACATAATTTATTTGTGTCTGCTATTTAATGTGCTTTTCTACTATATATTTTATTCCAAGTATTACAACCCTTTATTTCAGAAACTGTTTCTTTTCCTTTTGAACACTTCAATTTAATAAAAAAAAATCTTAATTTTCAGAAAACTTATTAGATAGAAGTTAAAAGGCTGTAACATTATAAA